TACCAGGTAAGGAGTAATTGCGGTGGAATAGTGGTGATAAGCAAAAGCTGATCTATGGAAGACCCTGCTGGGGACCCTAAGGAAGTGATGTGTATGCTGAACCCTAAATTGGGAGTAGCAATAGCTAGAAGAGGTGTGGTGGAAGGAAGGATTCCCTACGGAAGTACCAAGAGAAAGTTGTTCCTTGAGGCAGTATTCTTAACTCGAATGCTACTGGCATTTTCAACAAGACAATTTTTTGCTGGGCTGGACCATTTCACACATTACAAGACATTTAGCATCTCTGGCCACCGGCCACTAAATGGCAATAGCACCCAGTCATTATGATTACCAAAAATATTCCTGCGTATTTCTAAATTATTTCAGGGAGGACGGTATATTTCCAAATACTGATTCCAGTTGATAACCAACGCTGTAAGGAAGTCAGAAGTGGTCATGGCTGATGACTTCAAAATGATCGCAAGAATTTATCCGCTTCTGACTCTGAGAAAGTAATAATACTAGACTAGTCCTCCCACCATAAATAACTATAAAGAAAGACAAATATTTTACATAATTGTTTTCAGATTTTGGACAACAATCACTGCCAGACTGAGATACCTTACAAAAGGGAAACAAATGAAGTAGGCCTCAAGATCAAGCTAGCTTTCTGCCTGGAGGTACTTTCCAAATCATAGCACTGGAAGAGGAATCCAAGCATAATATAGCATTTTTTACTGAGCTGGAGAGACAGAGTTCAGAGTGTAAAAAGTACCTGGGATTTACAGGTCAGAGTAATGGAGAAGAGGAGGGTGCTCATAGAAGGACCTATGGAAATGTGTCTAGGGCTCCCCTAGTCTTTAGCTGAATACTAACATGTGTGATGGTAACACAACCTATCAAAATTTGTGGGATGCAACTAAAGCAGTACTTACAGGCAGGTATATAGCTTTAAATTTTCATATTAAAGAAAACATTTAAAATCAATGAAATTAAATTAAAATTTAAAAGATAAATAAGAGCGGGCCAGCCGAGTGGCTCAGTTGGTTAAGAGCTTGCTCAAGAGTTTGAGCTCTGAGCAACAGGGTCCCCAGTTTGATTCATGGCCCTAGCTGAGCTGCTGCTGAGCTGCCAACCGGTGGCAGGATGGCTCAGCTAAAAAAAAAAAATACAATAAAATAAATAAGAGCTATGTTATCAATGTGTATTTATATATTTATATACCACCTACCCTAATAGCTTATTGAATCATAAATTGAAAGAGTATTTAGGAATGTGCCTGTCTAACCCCCAACACTACCAATTCTGATGTTTAAAAAAGTAACCCCTCTGTATTTTAGAATTGTTCCTTCTAATTGCCAGAATATTTATATAAGGGATGTAAAGCTTATCCTAAGTTTCAAACCATTCATATGATAAAAGCCTATCATAATTTTTTTTTTTCTTGAGAAAAAGACTAAACCAAACAAAAACAAAAAAACCCTGTTTTCTATTCCTTTCATGGAACATCTCCAGCTCATGGGTGATTTTGATTTTTCCAATGTAAAGTCTTATCATAATTAGTCAAATGTACATTTATACCTTAGTTTACAAGGAAAAAAATCAAATCCGAATATTTTACTAATTGGCAGTGCTAAGCTGGCACAAGGAGATAGCTATGATGTTATTTTCCAGATGAGGAAACTCTGGCCTAGAGAAGGGAGGTGACCCTCCCCCTCAGTCCCCACAAGGCCACTTGGTTTTCAAAGCTGAAGCTAGAACCCGGGTTACCTATATCTGAGCCCACGGCTCTACCTACGTGACTCCCCAGCCCCTTCAACTTGGTTCACCCTTTGGGATGTCATCGTTCTCCAGTTCCCTTCTAGGAAGGATACAGGCCAGCCCAATTCCAAGTCCACACACATTACTGAGAAAGGAGGTCTGAGGAATGAGCCATGAGGCACACAGCAGGAGCCACGGCACCAGCATCGAGGGCACCACCACACCGAACACCAGGGCCCTCCTCATGCGAGAGCGGACGACGTTGACTCCCAGCATGGCAAAAGCCACTGGGGTGAAACCTCGGGCATCCTCCACCTCCCCCAGCTTCGACAGCGTTGTCACGGCCTCAAATGACAGGAAGATGATAGCGGAGAAGAGGGCGAAGATCACGGTGAAGAAGCAGTGGCGGACGGTGCCCACGGTTCTCTCAAAATTGCCAGCAAAGCGCCAGATGATGACAGCACCGCAGAGCAGAGAGACTGGATTCTCATAGACAAAGATGTAGGTCACCAGCCTGTAAACTATAGAGGGAGCTGGGTTAAAGGCCTGACTGGCTTGCTCCAAGGAGGGAAAGACAGGTTTCAAACCACCTATAAAAGGGGGAGCAGCCCCCATGACAGAGCACTGAGAGCCAGTGAAAATCAGCCTGCAGCCAAGATAAGCAGTAGGAGGCAACAATGAAGTGCCCGAGATTCAAAGTAGAGTAATGAATGTCTAAATCCCTGCTCTTTCCCCAACCTGGAGTGAGTCTTATCAGCGACTGACTTCCATGTGGGGGAAAAAAAACCACTTTGTAGCATGGGATGGTCTTTGAATTTATAATGTGCTTTAGGCCCCCTTTTTAGGTTTTAATACTGACCTATCTCACCAGGCAGTTTGAGGGTAATTAATTGTAACAGCTTCAGGGTGGACTGAGTGGGTGTCCCTTAACACTCTGTGTGTCAGTCTCCTCGGCTGTAATCCTGACCTCTCCTTCCATAGTGGCTGTTCAGAGGAAGAAAAAAGGGACCATGAATTATTTTGCACCTATAAAGATTATCACTATAATCCAGATATAAAAATGATCACTAATAATATAGATCTAAAACTCAGAAGTCTTCCTTGAAAGTGTTTATCCAATCCTACAGGTAGAGTGATGCTCTATGTGCAATAAGACAGCAAATAATCTCCCTTTTATTCTTCTAAAAGCAATCCTCTCTTATGTACTTTTATGTCCTTGCAGGCCAGAACATTAAACTGAAGGAGGGGGCCCAGTGAAGTGGCAGTAATATTGGATTGGGAGCCCAAAGACAGAGTGAAATCTTGGCTCTATCACGTACTGGTTGGCTGAGGTTAGTCAAGTCACAGGCCCTCTTGGCTTCAGTTTCCTCATTGTAAAGGAACAGGATTACACTTGAGGCCGTCAAAGATTCCTTACGTACGTATCTAATACTCACATGCCCATGAGCCCCACGCTCAGAGAAACTGTGAACTAAAGAAAAAAAGGGAGTTTAGTTTGGGCTGACATTTTGCATCTGCCGATGACATGCTCTGTGTCTGGGTGGGGGGAAGTTTTAGATTTGAGGAAGGGGACAGGCTATGAACCCCAGTCAGGCCAAGCCATCTCTGTTAGGCTTCATTATCTGACGAGTACCTCCTTAATTGCTGAATACTTTACAAACTGAAATTCTAAGCATCAACGTGAAGATTCTAGAAGCAATTCTATATGATTTGGGGCTAATATACCCCAAGCCTCCGGTTTCCAAAACATCATACAATAAAAGGAAAAATCTGGGTTCTATCTCTATTGTATAACTGAATGGCTCTGTGATTCTCCGCAGTAAGCCTTAGTCTCATTACTACGTCATGGGATATTGGAGAGGATTAAATAAGCTTAATGCATCCGCCACCTTTGTGGCTTTGCAAAACAGCAAGAGTTACGCAAACTTCCCATTTTCCTCCCAAGAAAAGAATAGAATTTTATGAGATGTTAATATTTAAAATGGTTTGCAAAATTTCTCTCCCCCAGACCACTTCATAGTCGGTGTAGAGGACTGACCACCGCACTGTATTTCTGAAGCTGATGTTGAATAATATTGTATGTCAACTATAATTATATATACAAATAGTCACGGGACATAGAGAGTGGGAATGGAGTCAATGGAATTGTAATAGATAAGCATGATATGGGGGGGAGGGCAATAGATGGGGAGAGGAGGGTTGTTACTTTGTGAGGGTGAAAAGGATAACTAGCGCATTGTTCTGTACACCTGAAACTAACAATAAAAAAATAAATTAAAAAAAAAATCTCTCTCCCCCAGAGAAAACAAACACCTCTCCAAAAGGCACAAGATGCCCCTCCCCCCATAAACTGGGAATCTCACTCAGGATTAAGATACAAACGAAGAAGCAAAAGAAATCCTAAACCTCCAGAGGCCAGGACGCTAGGGGTAGCCACAGATAAAGCTCAAATGTCTTGATGAAGGAGAGAGAAAAAATTTTTTTCAGCGAGGGTTATACCTTAAAGCAGACGTGTGTATATAAGGAAGGAGGGGGAGAGAAAAATCCTCTTCAGAGAGCGAGCATGGATGAATTAAACTGGTTTGCCTGCGAACATATGTGGGGGCCTTCATCAGTCCAATGACGACAGGGAAGGGAAGAAATTAAGGTAGGGAAGGATTACAGTAATGACGAAGATGGGCTCTGGAGAGACAAAGACGTGGAATATGGGGGTGGTCCAACGGTGGGGGGAATGAGGATGTGGACGGAGAAGCTGGAGGTAAGGCCTGATGGCATGGGTGCTGGGAGGCCGAAGTCCAGGGCCTGGCGAGGTCGAAGGAAAAGGGCTGGTACTGGACTCCCGGCCCCGCTCTGCTCACCTTGCCAGTTGCGCAGGCAATCGGACCGCAGTGAGAGGCCGGAGGGTGGCAGGGGAGGCTGCAGCAGGAACACACGGGGCCCAGACACCAGTAGCGAGAGCAGCGCGGTGAAGAAGGTGGCGGATGGCACCTCAGGCCAAAAGGACCAGCTCCGATACCCGGGCTCCGAGACCGCCATGGCCGCCACCGCTCCCGTGCCTGCTGGGCACCGAGTCAGAGCCGGCTTCTTCCGCCTCCCTGCGCTGTCTCCCCTAACAACAGCGGGGGTGGCGGTCGGAAGCCGCGCCTCCCGGTCCCCGCCCACGCCGAGCTGCCCTATTGGGTCGCGCTGACCAGCCGCTCCGGCGCGCGGCCAGCGGGGAGCCTTTTCAGCGCCCTCTGGTTGCACAGCTCTATGATCCCCGCAGCGCTCCAGTGTGGGGGGCAACTTCAAGGGTTCGGGTTTGGATTTCATCATCTCTGCTTTAGATACCTAATGACTATTGTCCCTTGTGGTTTGCAGAGCCACCCCCTCCCCACACTCCTCCCCTTTCTGTGTTTATTTCCGTTACACGGATGAGACAACTGAGGTCTGGGAAGGCCCCTGGGTAATTCAGTTAAATGGCAAAGGCAGAATTAGAACTCAGGTCCTCCCACTGCTATGGCCTGGAGCACAGCTGCGACGGCAGCCTTTGGTGGCTGGGTTGGAGAGGCAAGAGAGTGAGACGAGAGGGATTCTATGAAAGCACTGAAGTGTTAGGAATGTGATGTAACACCTTAATAATCAAGGTCTGTTTCAGCACTTCAAGTTAGGAAGGCACTTTCCCCCAGAGAACAGCTGTTTAAAGCAGACAGCTGGAATATTGTTTCCCAGGTTACGGATGTTCCAGGAGGTGAGGGAACTTGTCCAAGGTCACAAGCGGGAAGTGGAAGGACTGGGATTTGAATCGGTTTGCTAGGCCCCAATTTTCTCCCCTTTTCACCACAGTATTTCCCTCTAATATCCAGCTTACCGTATTTGCCGGCGTATAAGATGATTTTTTGGCGCTGAAAAATATGCCTCCAAGTGGGGGGTCGTCTTATACGCCAGGTACACTTCAGATAGACTGCCCATAGTGCTTGCCCCGTGCCATAGTGGCCTCCCGAT